TTGTGTATATGTGTCGTTTTTTGCTATGTACGCTATGTATTGTCTGTACCCTAAGTTTCTCCCCGAAGGAGCCGATATCAAAATAGACATTTATACATCATTCGATAGCCCTTTCGATGAGCTACATTTTCCACTATTTATATTTGAAAAAGGAGATAGTTCCATTTTTCGCCTAATGTCCGCCTGGATGCCCACTGTGAGGGGTGTACTTCAAAGATAAGTTGATATTCGAAATCCGCGTAAAATCCTGTTTTCAGTCCATGTCTTTTTGTTTTCCGAAAAAGTTTGCGAAGGCGAAATATCGAGGGCTTCGCAAAAGCATCTCTGAAAAATCGAAATTTAATTTAAAAAATCTACGGTTTGACATGCCTCGGTTTCAGGCCCTGCCAAAAATCCAGCTCTAGTTTTGGTACTTTGAAAAGCACATGGCTAGATTCAGTTTTCGATTCTGAATCCGAATATGTTAACCGCGGAGCTCCACAACATTTCGTGGCGAAACGAGTGAGCATTTTCGAAAAACGGTCATTTGTCCGGTTTTCGAGTCCTCTCGAGTTTTCTCGATTTTTCAACCACAAAAAATTGCTCCAAAAATCTGAAAACTACATGGCCGAGATCGCAGTTGAATTCTCTATTGAATGGTGTAATTTCCAGGCAAAAATAAAAAAAGGTGCAAGTATGCATGAGTCGTATCTTAACTTCGCTCGATTAATGTATCTTTTTACGTCAACTGTATCCTTTTTTATCACCATGGAAAAAATGTTTCCTTTCTTTCGTTCTTATTACACAAAACAAACAGAAAGAACCAGATTTTTTCGATTTACATGTGTTTTTCTCTCAACCTTGTGTAAAAAAAATTTATTCCGTTTACTGAATGAAAACAAGGTAAATGGTGCAATCAAGACGAATATAGTTGAGTGCCGCATTTCTTCGATGTATGTACGTCTCTGTGATCAATAAGTAAAGATCAATAAATGCATTTTTCTACTCAAGTTTTTGTATGATTGTCTATCTTACTAGACAGTAACAGATGGAAAAAAAAAAGTTCGCCGTTATTGGTGGAGGTTGGTCTGGTCTATATGCTTTGAAATATTTGTTGGAAGAAAAACTTGATGCTCGACTCTATGAACGTGAATCAAATCTTGGTGGAGTATGGCTTTACAAAGAAGCACAAGGTGGTGTTTATCAGTCGACACACGTCACTTCATCAAAAACGTATCTCCATGCTTCTGATTTTCCTCTACCCGATGAAACGCCCCATTTTCCAAAACATGATCAAGTACTTGCGTATTTAAATTCCTATGCCAATCATTTCAATTTATGGTCTCATATACATTTCGAATGTGATATCAGGAAAATTGAAAAAGGACGAGATAATCAGTGGAAAGTGACACTTCGATGTAATGGAAAAGAAATAAAAGAAGTTTTTGATGGACTGGTAATAGCTACTGGACAACATCAAATAGCTAATGATCTTCGTCATGTTGAACCATTCGATCAATTCACAGGAACTACATCACACAGCATTTCATACAAAAAACCTGATGATAGAATCCATCGTGATAAAACAATTCTGATCGTTGGTGGAGGTGAAACAGCCAGTGATTTGGCTGTTGAACTTTCTACATTTGCTCGCCGCATCTACATGAGTATTCGAGGGGGTCAATGGTTTCAAGAACGTCTCTTTGGGGATCAACCAGCTGATCTTCTTTTCCCCAAGTCATTCGGATTCTTTGGTTTATACGACAATGTATGGGCTAAAATAGGATGGACACTGTTTATTCGACCTTTCTGGGGCGAAGGTGGAACAGGAATTAGTGAATGGAAACCTCGATGTCAACTTTTCCATGGTTTCCTTAATAAAAGTCGAGATGTCGTCCATAAAGTAGCATCAGGAACGGTCATACCAAAGAGAAAGATTAACAACATTAAGGAACAGTTGGTGATCTTTGACGATGAGAAAAAAGCGGTGCATATTGATCATATTCTATTTTGTACCGGCTATCGATGGTCTCATTCGTTTTTAGATGACAATTTCGAGAAAGAGGTGAGTCATTTGCATTTTCAGACAAGACTTTTATTACCTAAACTCAAATAAAAACGATACTGAATTTCTTCAATTGTCGTCTATCAAATTTCTGTGTATTTTTGTCAATCACTAATTCGCTGAAAGTTTAAGTTCTTTACAGTTTCACTGATCACATAAAAATCTACTCAGTAGGAAATATATCCTATATAAAAACGATTAAATTTATTTAATTCATTCATTTAGACCAACGTTGAGTTCCTTTATCAATTAATCTTTCCTGTCAATCTTCCTAATCTTGCTTTTGTTGGAAGTGCTCGACCTATATTTGGCTCAATTCCATCGCTCGCCGAATTGCAAGCTCGTCGTATCGCTCAAGTCTTTTCCGGTAGAGATTTTCTCCCTTCGGCAACAAATATGTCTATATGGCTAAAAAAATATTGGAAACGTCACGCTCAACTCTATCCGTTCGAAGCACGTCTTCCACAACTTGTCAATCAATTCGAGTATGCTGACCTATTAGCTAACGAACTCAAGATCAAACCTCGTTTATGGAAGTTATTTTTCTCTCAACCTCGAAAATGGTATACTATTTACTTTGAAAGTCCCTGGAGTCCGTTTCTTTTTCGTATGAATGCGATTGAAACCGAAGAGGAAAAACTAGCCTATTTAAGACATGTCAACTGTATTCCTCGACGAGATCAAGTATTTTTTAGCTTTACACTAGAGATCCAAGTGATCTTTGGAATTGTCTTCCTCTTTTTCATTATTTGTTTCGGAACACTTTTTGCCTTTCTACTTCATATTTTCTGAAAGATCTGTATTTATCAAATAAATCTATTACAATTATAATAACTTTTAATTAACTTAAGAATTTCATACTAATCGCGACATTATATCAAATTAAGATGAAAGATATTCAGTGTGGTGAATCTACGTATAAATAATTGGAAATTTCAAAAAAAAAGATTTTTCTATCCGAACTAAATGATAAATAGAAAATTGTTGCGTTACAAGCGAGAAGCCAAAAATAAAGTCAAAGTGCAGAATTTGAACGGTTTTTCTGTCGAGTCAAAAATAGGAGCACATCGAATATTTTTTCGTATTTTTCAAAAATTCATAATAAATGGTTTGTATTTTCGTAAAAAGGAGTTGCAACATTCTTTCGAAATCGCAGTTTTGTAGAGAAAACATTTCTCTACAAGATGGTATATAGTAACCCCCCCCCCTCCCATAATAGAAGCCCAAGGGCTTCTATTACGT